AGTTTTTTTTTTGGTTTCAACAATTTGTTCTCAGGCATTTCTTCTCAAAGCTTCGCCGGAAAAGAAAAAGGAGGAATGTCCATCGTTGACCCCACTTCTTCAACGTCTTCTCTTCCATATCAGAGCGTGAGTTGGTCAGATAGTTGCTCGCAGACCACGTGACTGCTTGAACTTTCTATCGTTACTTGCTACTTTCTCCTTTCGGTTCTGCTGCGAATGGGGAAAGTAGCGACCAGGCAGGGGCCTTCAGCGCAACCAGAGCTGCTTAGGAACATAAGGTGAACTTGGCTCGGTTTTTCGAAGGGCAGGAGCGGTGGGTGGACTATTTACCATCTGTAAAAAGTTCGTATGGGCAGTAGCATAGTGGTTCATAAAACTCTATGTGGAGCCCTTGGCCCAGACGGGCGCAGAAAACTGACATGGCTGAACGGCAATGAGCGTCGGCTGTGGTCGAGCGGTTACTGCCAGCGTCATTGGTGGAAGAGCTGCGGGAGGGCGTTTGGCCACAGTCCACTCAGCCCTTCCACCTATGACGTTGCCAGTGATCTCCCGCCCCCAGCCATCGCGCCCAGAACTTTTCAAGAACCGAGTTCAAGCAGTCGTAGACCATGAATGGTGTATTGCCGTTGTGAATTGTTGCAGTTTTGTTCTCTGCCAAGCTGGAGCGTGTCAGGGCGAACGGGTTTAGCGCCAACCCGTGACAACAACTGAAACTGGAAAACGGGCTGGCGCGGCTCCAAACCCAGCCCCCCCCTAACACGCCCAGCATCAGCAGCGATCAAAGCTGTACATTTGCTTACACCAGTTAGCGTTCATTCCGTTGCAGCTTATCAAAACTTCGGCGGAGGCGTACTTATGCACAAAATGTATTGCTGATGAAGTTGAGAAGACAGCAGGCAGCTATTATAAAGATGGAACGAACAGCGAACAAAAGGACATCAAAAATTTCACGCTCAATCAGCCGTGACAAAGCCTCTGTTGCAGAAGGGCAGAGCAATGGTGAGTTCTTCATGGTGTTCTTTCTGTTATTGTTAACCCTCCGTCTCCTCTCATAACTGGTGTCTACATGCGTGAAAGATGATTTTTTTAGGAAAAGCTGTGTCAGACAACGGTCGTGTTGATGGTGAACATGATGTTTCCATTTCCAACTC